GATCATCTCATTGGCACTGACCTGTGGAATTACTTTTGTGCCAATCTTGGACATTTTTCTGAGATTAGTATTACAAAATGCAGAGTTTGGGCCAGGATGGCAAGTGATTAGTTAGAATACCTCAGAATATGGAATTCTGGCATTGATGGGTTTCCTTTGTCTAAGTTATGGATATAAGACCAAATAAAGGCAGGGCTGCAACAATTTTAAAATGTCTACACATTTTCCACAGCTAGATTCCTTATCCATTGCAGAATGCTAAGCTAACGAGTGGGCATGCATTCCTTGAAGATCTTCCACCTTCAACCACCTGAAGAAGGCCAGAGTGTACAACGGCTGAAATGTTGTAATAAATATGGTGACAAAGATGAGGACAATAGTCCAAATAATGTAAATAGGAGAAATAATCAATAAATAAAATTTCACAGTTCAGACGGAAACATCAGAAGTATAGAGTTGAAGCAGATTTTAGAAGGAACCAGAAACCCAATCCTAAACAGGAAACAAAGGATAAACTTCTACATTTGTCCCAAAAACCAGGGAAGAGTCTGAACTGGATGATAGACAAGCATATCCACTCCTATTGGAAAAGAAAAAAATAGTAATAATTGCTGAATAAAATTTCAGATTTTAGGTGGAGATGTCAGAAGTACAGAGTTGAAGGAACTGGAAACCCAATCCTAACAGGAAACAAGGGATAAACCTAAACACCTGTTCAAGAAACCGGGGAAGAGTGTGAACCTTACGATAGGCTAACCTATCGCTATCGGAGGTGGAGGAAAATATAAATAACTAGTGAAAACAATTTCAGGCAGAGAGTAGACATATAGAGTTGGAGTAGACCTTAGAAGGAACTGGAGACCTTATCTTAAAGAGGAAACAAATGATAAACCTTTACTCTTGTTCAGAAGATTGGGGAGGAGTGTTAACTGTGTGACAAGTGAACCTATCTACTCCTATTGAGGAAGAAAAAAAAATAATTAGTAAATAAAATTTCAGAGTTCAGGCAGAAATGTCAGAAGTACAAAGTTGAAGTAGCCTCTTTAATTAAATAAATAAAATAATTTTCTTCTGTTATTAAATTCTTAATTGTTTATTATTTTTCTTAACGTCATCAAATTGAGGATTTAATTAATTTCTAAATGTACTTTTAGCTATTTTTTAATTAAAAATGAATTTCCTTAATTTCAATTTTTTTTTTTTTGTTTCTGCATGAATAATTTTTTTGCACCGCCCCCTCCTTGTTTCATAGACCAAAATAACATTGCATTTGTATGACATGCTTAAAGGTCTCTTTTCTCCAGTTAGCATTTTGTTGACAATGTGAGACTATTGCATTTACCCCTTTCATTTTATTTTTCTGTCACTTCTTCTCCCTGTCCCATCATGGCATGACACTTAATAAAATCCAGTTTCCTTCAAATTTTACCCTGAGTAGCAATTTTTGACTGGAGTTGCTATTTTTTTTTTTTTTTTTTTTTGCAGAATTTATTATCTCCCTTGAATGTTGTTATCCTAAAACCAGAAAATCTGGTACCAGTAATTTATAATATAATTTCAGATTTGATTTAGTGATATTTCTTGACCAACACTTGATGACAGGTAGCATTATCTTTAATTCCTTTTGATTAAGGTACCTAACCTATTTGTCTTGTTTACCTGTAGCGTTTCTGTCATAAAGTCAGACAAGATTTTGTTTTATTGTATAAAGCTGTGTTTCTCAACCTATTTTACTTCAGGGCGCACTTGTAGAAAAACAAAAACTCTGGGGGCGCACTTTAAATTTTAATAAGGAAAAATTAGTCATGAAATTTGAAAATATGAACTTTTGCTTTAGATTTCTTAAGAAGATTAATGGTACAATTTCTTTGTTCATTTATTTATAAGAATATCTTTTTTAGAGAGGCTGATAAATGACTGATTTTGAAATCCCTTGAGGAAGGCAAAAGGGAAAGGATTATCCACTCCTTAAAGATTAAGAAATTATTTGTATCAAAAAATTTTCCTAAAATATGATGAGTTTAATTGATAATTTAATCCGCAGATTTCAATAAAACTTAGTTTTGGCAGTGGAGGCCACCTTTGTTTTAATGTATTATGAATTATAAAGTCATGAAATTAATCATTAATGTTTTAATACTTTTTACAAATAATATAAAAGAAATTACTCACTTTACTATTTTTGTTTGGTACAAAATTTAATTTTCGCTTTTGATAGCACATATCCGTGCATTTGATAAATCCTTATCTTTTGGAAATAAAAAGAGATTCACTTTTTTGGTTCATTTTGATAATTTATTTTGCATTTTGGGACAGTGCAACCATGTGGCATTTTTTTTTTTTTTTTTTTTGGTAAATTATTTCAGTGAAGATATTTACAAAAACAAAAAAATGAAGCTGAGTCAAAAATATGAAAGTATTTCTTTGAGTTTATACTACAGATAGTGACATCAGCAAATAAGCCCTGTCCATCAAACAGGCCTTTTATCTAGCTGGTGTTGGTTTCAGCCATACTTGTGTTGAGTCCTTCACTTCTGCCATTGTTATATACAAAAAAAATATCTTTGTTTGGCACTTTGGCCTTGAAATTAAAAGGACACTCTAGTAGGCTCAAACTCAGTACACTAAGAAAGCAAGTTAAACATACGGGTGTTTCACTACAAGAGCATATCCTGATGAAAAAAAGCATTGAACTTGATAAACAAATTTTTATCATCTAAATGTTTGTTATTATTAAGAGGAAAGACCAAAGTATTTTTTGATTATTTTTAAAAAAATTTTGAATCCTTCCTAGCATGTCCAAAATTTTAGTTAAACATCTTTTTTTTTTTTTTTTTTTTTTGAGTCAGCAAAATTGACATAAAATTGATCATGTTTTTTTGACAGTTTTGTAAACAAAACTGAAATTCTCCATTTAAAAATCTTGTAAACTTCAATTATACTTTTTTTCAAAACTTACTTTAGGAAAATTAGAAAATTTAAAGTTTACTTAATGTAAATGGAAACAAACATTACTTAATTTGTTTAGCAGAAAAAATTTAGTTGAATATAATAGAAGTGTGTCTAACTGTGGTGATTGATTTTGGAGGTGTGAATTGATGTTTACATCAATGTATCAGCAACTAACGTCAGGGCAATTTATTGGATGGAAGGACAAAAGTGATAGTATTTTCAAATTTTAAGTAAACTAGTTTATTTAACTATAAAGTAATTTTTAAAAATTAAATACTTTCAAAGGTAATATTTTATTGATTTTTTTTTTTAGGTACTTTTTTTTTTAATAAAGATATGTCCAAAGCCTGCACTTAAATTAAATCTCATGGAAAAACAATAAATTATATTTAAAGAATGGAATTAAAATATTTAGTGAAATAGGATATAAAAAAGAAAATTAAAAATTTTGAAAATGTGATGATGATGGTCAGTCAGAGAATTTGATACGTACTAGCCAGAAGGAAAGCAAAGTAATTTCTCTTAAAATGTGTGACCTATTTTTTCTATTCATATAGTTTTGGAGAAAATGTTTTTAATACAATTTTTGCATATTTAAAAAAATATTTAAAAATACTCTAAGCTTTCAAATTTATGATCTGTGAAAATAGATCTTTTTACTAAGAGGATTTCCACAAATACACAGACTCAAACTTACTTTTAAAATATTCAATAAATTTATCACATTTTGTATTTAAAATTGGAAAAAAAGAATACAATATTGTCCTTTATATATATTATTCATTTAGGCCATTAAAAGCTTTTTTATTTAAATAATGTCTTAGTTTTATTGGGTTTTGTATTTTACAATTCAGAGCTGAATTTTGGGTAAAATCTGGTTGAAATTTACTAAAAAAAAGTTGTTTTATATTTTCAAAGTTTTCTGTTTTTAACTAATATAATCACAAAATTACACAGATATCAACTTTTCTAGTTTTCATAAAATTAAGCAAGGGGGAGTAACACATGTAAAAAAAGACTTTCTAAAAAACAAACATTTAAAGAATCATTTCATTTATTTGTGAATAAGTTCTGAAAGTTTAACTAAAATCCAACAATTATTTTATTTTTGCAAGAATTTCTAAATTAATGTGTTTTTTCAATTGAAAAAAGGCAAAAAAAAAAAAAAAAAAAAAACTAATGGTAAATATCACGTGACCGCTGACGTAAAAAAAACAAACAAACCAAAGGAAAAAGAAGATTTTCAACCAAAATTTCGAACGTGCTTTTTAGCATGAATTTTAGGATGAAAAAAAATCTAAAGAATAATTAAAAAATATCTTGGTCTTTTCTCTAAATAATAACCTAAACATTTTGACGATAAAACTTTGTTTCTATTAAGTTTAAGGCCTTTTTTTCATCATGCTACTGTTTTTTCGGCGAAATTATTTAATTTAAGATACCTAGTTAAATATGATGCAAACAGAAATAAGCAAAAACAATCTCCGAGCCACAAGGGAGGCAACTCTGACGGCTCTTTCAAAGTTATGTCCCTTACTATTAAAAAAACATGGTTAGTTGAGTGCCATCCTGTCTCTTTCGATTCATGACCGACGAGGCAGAAGATTTTCTCGCAGTAGGTTGCTATTTCTTTCTGCAATAGACTGGTTGCCAACCAAGGCTATAGGAACCAGTCTATCCTGCTATTTAACCGATAGCTTAGGAGGAGTAGAGATGGATTCATACTTTTCCCAAGGTTATTTGTGTGTAAGTGACCTGACTGGGATTCGAACCCGTCTTTCCAATTTCTAATTCCGAGCATTTATCCATTACACCTCCAACACATCCATTAAAAAGTGCTGATTGATCAATAGTCTCCTACCTGTAATGTGGTAATATAAACCTGCTTGAATTTTTATTTGTTAGTATATATTCTAGCCGATTTCTTGATTTTTAAAAATTTACGTATAGTTTTCTCATGTATATGTATAAGTGTGTTTTATATATATATATATATATATATATATATATGATAATTATTCTGAGCTTATTTTTTTTCTATCTTGCAGGTGTGAAATCTCGACTGGGTGTTCAACGATGTTCAGAGGTGACTTCCACGGCGGATGAGCTTCACATAAATGACATGGACTTTAGCACCAGTGGCAACAGCAATAGTAGTGACAACAGTGGAGTTTTCAGTCGCCTTGGGCGCCCAGTTCTGTCGTGAGAGTCAATAGCCAACTGGGTCACCTCAGTGCAAGGATGGACAGATATATGGACACAGTTCTGAACCCATTATGCCTCACACCTGACACTCATCCCACTGTTGTTTACACCTCACACTGCTATACCACCCTCACCGCACCAGCCCATCAGACATAAAGGGTGCGGCAGAAATAACTCCCACATATGTCTCCCAGTAATAATGGTAAGACATTATCTAGATGAAGACACCATTGCCACTAGGAGGGAGGTATTCTGCCACACCCTGTATTAACCTCACTCTACACATATCAACTTGTAATATTCCTTGTTTTCCTGCTTGTCTATTTGAGCATGCCATTGCATCAACAAAGGCCTGTCTGTTGAGGCACATTGGTAGCAAGTAGTTTTCAGCAGCTTGAAAGGTCGAGTGGGTTTCCAGCTCCAAGCAAGCAAGGCTGACCAGTGCCAGTCATTTTCTTCACATCTCACCCCCCCACTGTATAAAATTTGGCATTATGCAATCTGTTCGCTCATACATTTATGTACTTTTAAAATTTGCAGTGCTTGCAGAGTGTAAATGTGTGCGTATATGTGTATGCATGGGTGAGTGTTTTTTATTTATGATTATTTTTTTTTTTTATTTCTTCACATTCTCAATTACACCACCTGCACATCCAAGCTTACAGCATTTGGTATTCCCAAGAGGTCACCCATCTAGATACTGGTCAGGGTTGATATTGCTTAACAACGGTGATTGTACAGGAACCAGTATTTCAACATGATGTAACCGCATACCTTAGAGAAATATCTGTAATCTACTGTTATAAAAAGTGGGGGATCTATTTATAACCTGGTTGTTAATAAAAAGTGATCCTCCACTTGTTTGTTCATTAAATATTAATGCAGGATTACTGAATTGGGCTAGTCTGGAAAGCCCAGTGCTTTTAAATTTTGCTACTTGTGACGTTTTAGCCACTTTTAAGATAAACTGGGTTAACTTAAGAAGTCTATTTTAACAATACATCCATAGGGTGATAAGAATTTACATTTCTAGTACGCAAATATTGCAACGTTTGTTTTCTTTTAAATAGATGCAGTAATGATCTTATTAAAACCGAGTTCTATATTTTTTTGTACTTACTAAGATATATTCCATTTGCTCAAGCTCACTATGGTCTTATGGCCATATCACATTGAAACACCGGTTTCTGTAAAAAAAGTTAAGCAAAGTCATGCCCTGTCAATATGTAGGTGGGTGACCGCTTGGGAATAACAGGTGGTATAATGGATAATGACTTGGAATTGTTAATCGGAGAGCCGAGCTACAATTCCCATTGGGTTTGTTATATTCACTCATGTGAAAATATCTTTGGGAAAGATATAAATTTCACCTCTTCTCCCCCCCTGGGTTAATTAGTAAGACTTGTATCACTAAAACCATTATTATATCCAAAAAATAAAATGAAATTATGTACAAAATATTTAGATTTCGGCATTAAATTACCCATAGAAGTGTTGATATGCCGCTAAACACAAAAACAACCAACCATTGAAAAGTGGTTGACCATAAGTAAAATGAAATACCTTTGGGCTATCATTGATAAGAGACATAATCGCCCTGATGTGGCATATCCGTTTGAAGCAACATGTATTGGGCCAGTGTGGTAGGGTAATGGTCTGTTTGCCACCATGAATTTGGGGAAGAATCTACATCCAACAAAGAACCATCACAGGCTAAAAAGAAGAAAAAGAAAGACTAAGAGGAGGAAAAGAAGAAGAAAAAGAAGAAGAAAAAGAAAGATGAGAAGAAAAGAAGAAGAAGAAGAAGAAGAAGAAGAAGAAAGACATGAAGAAGAAAAAGAAAGACTAGAAGAAGAAGAAAGATGAGAAGAACAACAACAACAACCAAGAGGAGAAGGAGAAAGATGAAAAGAAAATTGAAGATGAGGAAGAGCAAGAAAAACTAGGGGGACGAGGAGAAGATGAAGAAAGACGAGAAGAAAAAATAAGAAGAAAAAAGATGAGAAGAAAAAGACTAAGGGGAGGAGGAGAAGAAGAAGAAAAATGAGCAAAGAAAGAAAGAAAGACTAGGAAGAAAAGAAAGAAAAGAAAAACAACAACAAAGAGGAGGAGAAGGAGAAAGATGAAGAGAAAAAGAAAAATGAGAATAAGAAGAAAGACTAGGAGAAGGCAGAGAAATTATCACTTGCCAGTTGTCTATACTAACCAGCTTTAACTGGTACGTCAACTTGGGTGCTTTTTCTCAAATAACTGAATGGCTCCAACAGAGCTCTGTTGCCCTTACCGTGGATAGCCTTGCTCATGAGAGAGATACAAAAGGACAGGATGCACCCCACAATAGTGCTTATGGGAAAATTCATTAAAGCCAGTCATTAATGCAGCATAAATAGCCACTATTGACTTCATGTATTTTTATAGTGAATCGATTTTTCTAGCACATTCATATTCAATTGGTGAGATCTAAGTTTCCCTCAAGCCGCTTCTTCCGACGATCCCCTGCTCTGTGGAAAAACTTCCAAAACAATGCTTCCCCGCTCACTACAATCATAACCTGTTCAAGACTAGAATTAACTGGTATCTTCCCCACATGTCCGCATAAACTGTGCCTCTTACTCTGTAACCCTCTACCTCGAGTGGCTCTTGGGTCTTGTACAGGGTGAAAATTAATGTAAAAAAAAAAAAAACAAAAAAAATCCATCAAATTTATATAATAGACACTGATGTAATTTTTAAGCAATAAATAGATTTTTAAAATCTGAAATTATTTCTTGTTACTATAGATGTTATTTTTAGCGGGTGCATGTGTTTGAGTAGACATCCCTGCTTTTTTTTTTCTCATAATGTTCACCCAGTAGAAGGCCCAAGAGCCACTCAAGGTAGATGATTACTGAATAAGGTTGTTGTATGGATGTAAGAGGAGATAAGAAGTAAAGTTTATGAGGATATGTAGAAAAGATAAGTTATTTTAAATTTGCATGGGTTAAGATTGTAGTGATCAGAGAATCATCCTTTTGGATGCCTGTTCTACAAAGCAGCAGTTCTTGGGAAGAATCTGTCCGAATGGAACTTACTAATGGAATACAAAGGGAATGAGAGTGGTTTGCCCTTGTGTGCATGGCATGGCAGGTCTTGGGTGTAAAGCTGGTGGAACTAAGGGGTGAAGTGTCAGGACATTTGTTATTGAAAGAGAGAGAGAGTAGCAAGTAGCTTGTGACATTTTGTTTGGTGGAAAGAGATTGTAGGGTGGAAGTGGATTTAATGTTTACCAGTTGAGAGAACAAGAACCAAGAAAATGTATTCTCCCCCCTCAACAGCAATTGAAACTCTATTCCTCTTCTCGATCATACAAACCACTCTTAAACTAAACATGCTTTATCATTAGGCCGAGGGAAGCCGTCACAACAAAGCAAGAATTGGTTGGCATATTATTAGAAATGCTCATCTCTCATTGAAACCATTTAAAGTTTATGTCTGTTCATATTACTTTTGTACTCATAAGACAGTGGATATTAATTTCACTCTCTCTCTCTCCATATATATATATATATATATATATATATATATATATATTCATTAAAGACATTTTTATGTTTAACGTTGTTTTTTATAGATACAAGTATTTAAGTAAATGCTCTGTTTATGATAAACAGTATTAAATAACATGAAAATTTCTCGGACATTCAGGCCGGTAAATGTTATTTAATACTGTTTATCATAAACAGAGCATTTACTTAAATACTTGTATCTATAAAAACAACGGTTAAACATAAAAATGTCTTTAATGAATAAATTGTCGGACCTTGTCCATTTCTTAATATATATATATATATATATATATATATATATATAGGGTGTCCATAAAGTTTGTGTTCACTTTAAAAAATTTATAACTTTATTTGTATTTGTGATAGAAATAATTTGTGAAAAGGATTTGGAAGAAGTAAATCTATATCTTTTAAGGTTTTATTGAAATTTTATTTAAGTTTCCACATGTCCTCCATTAGCAATACAAAGGGTAATACGATTTTGCAGTTCACGGACAATATTTGCCAACTGATTTACAGTAATGCCTGAAATCATATTAGTTATTTTAGCTATACTTAAAACTAGGTACATTAAACTTTATAGCATTTTTTACAGATTATTTTCTATCGCAAATACAAATAAAGTTATACATTTTTAAAGTGCACACAAATTTTATGGATACCCTGATATATATATATATATATATATATATATATATATATATATATATATATATATATATTAAAGAAATATAGTTATAAGGTGTGCTATATTTATGGGATACAGTGCTCAATATCAGAGATAGAGTGTATGTAAATGTAAATATAAAAGTGAACATTGAAGTCAACACTCAGAGGTGACAGACTTTCATGATAAATACAATCATCAGGCCACGTCACCTCTGAGTGTTGACTTCAATGTTCACTTATGTGTGAGAGACAGAGATTTGTGTGCATGTATTTTTCTATATAGAATTTTTATAGGGCATTTCAATGGAGAGAGCTCAATGTTGGGCAGATTACATTTGTTGATTTAAACAGGGTGGACATAATAATCAACACCGCATGGTTATTGACAGTTTCATGCCTTATGCATTAATCAGACTATATATATCTGTTAAAGGACAATATGAATAAAGACAGAAAAGCTTTGACACTGCGTTTCTTCCTCTAATGGACTTTATCATGCCAAATTTAAAAATTTCATTTTGCAGCAAATATTTATAAACAAAAATAAAAATGTTTGTATTTTTATAATTTTTAAATGTAAGAACACTCATAGATATGCAGGCTAATTGAAAATTTGTGTTAGATTATGTTAAATTATAGAAGACGCTAAATGAAAAAATCTGATGCCTAATTTAATTAAATGCTGAATTTCTTTTCCTTAACGTAATTACTATTTATATCATTTTAGGCTGAGAATAATTTATGTATTATATATTTTAAACAAAGTTATGGATTTAAACCATT